TTAGTATTGACCAATTAGCAGAAGTAGTTCACCATCACATCGAGGCTGGTGCTAAGTTGAGGAATGAGCTGGTGCTGGTATGTAGTAACTATAACTAAATGTACTCCAGTAATTTACTTCACACTTCCCTTTTTAAGATTCTCCGTATTCTCTTCTCCAGGAAAGTACTGACTTCTGTCTGAATGGAGACTGCTACATGGTGGCCAGCCCGACTCCCCCTCCACATCCACCTCTTTTGGAGAAAGCCACACTGTCCACGCCAACCATCAAGCAGCTGGAGTCACTCCACCATCAGCTATGCAGCATTGCTCCATCAGGTGCTCATAGGGGAGAGACAATTTGGTGTGATTCAGTGTATTATTCTTGCTATCTAACAATTTATTTTTCTATCCATTCTTTTTCCTTCCTTTCAAACTTTCAGGCCTCATGTCCAGTTGTGAGTTTTCCAATTTGCTCAGGGACATCACCTCTGTTAACATGGGCAGAGACGTCTTGCCTGAGGCCTGGATCAACATAGATGAAAGACAGGTACTCTTCAAAGCACAGTGCCCCATTTTTTCTGTTACTCACATTCTAAACAACCAAAGAAAACACACGTTACTTAGCTCACACAAGCATTGTCCTTGTCTCTCCTGTTCCCAGCTGACGGAGATTGTGTCTATGTTAATGGACCAATATGACCTCATAGACTGGCGTCGGTTTCTGCTCAGTGCTGCCCTCCCTTGGCCTTTTCCCTCCATACCACAGCTGCTGGCTGTGCTAAAACGTTTCAAGGAAGCAGATACTGGCAACACAGGCTATATAAACATGGAACAGTACCTACAGGTTAGTCTCTATACACACACTTTCAGAAATAGGTAGCAGATTCAGATTCTCTGGTACGACATGTTACTGTGTTTTAAATCTCATTTTCCTTCTACTGTGGATGAACCAAAGATAAATGTTTAAGTTTCTCCTCTTCCCTTCTTTCTCACCAGACGGAGTTGTGGTTTTCTGGTGACAGTGTCAAACCTGCCCCTGAGGACCCAGCTGAGCCTCTACCTTATGACCGTCTGGCCAACTTACGCAAGGTAAACAGAGACCCAACCTTTTAAATTATGCTATAAAATAGCTCTTCAGCTATTCTCAGTGATATCTCATGTAAAAATAAATTAACTAAGAAACATTCATCACAGAAACATCCATTTTGTTCTGAGCCTCAAAGGTATAAAACCCCAGAGTCTCTTGTTTAACTTTCAAATAATTGAGCTACACTGCAATTAATAAATGAAATGAATTAAGAGTAACCTTAGTGTCTGTTCTTCCTTCTTAGTTCTTTTTCCAGTTATTTGCGGATCACTCTTCCTCTCCCCCTCGATTGGACTATGTGTCGATGCTGCAGTACTTTGCAGCCGACCCTAACCCCCAAGAGGGCTTCTTTAGAGCACTGAGCGTGGTGCTGGGACAGCATGTGGGAGAACACACCTCACAGGGTCATCTTGTCAAGGTGAATAAATTAAAGCACAAAGAAACAATAATAATCAACAATGTTATAATCTTTTGTCATCAATGTATTCAAGTGGTAAAGAATTCCAATACAAACCAGTGATGTTATTTTCAGTAAAGCCAGCACTTGAGGTACAAACCCTTGTTCATCAACAATATCACTGTATTGTGTTTACAGTCTATGCCCAGTATAGAAGAGCCTACAGAGCTCAGCCCCTCAGAACCCGACGAAGAGACATCCAGTCCATTGGCAGATCCGGGCGTGTCCATTCCTGCTCTCCTTTCTGTCATCTGCCACAAAGTCACCAAGATGAAAGACACCAACGTGCTTCCTCCAGGCTGTCTGAGTGAAGAGGTACAGACACACACCGATGAATGTGTGAATTAAGAGGTCGAAGAAAATTATCTGCCTAAATTGTGTCCACACGAGTTTTAGGAATAATCTTTTTAATAAAGGATTATCTAATGCCAGCTCAATTTGGATATCTGGTCCACAAATTAAATTAGATTACACCGAATCAAGCAATAATTTTAATTAATTGATTCTCAGGGTTGGAATAACACATAGTTGCATTTTAAAAGCTAAGGGGTCTATAAATTGAAAGTTTTAAGGATAATTATGTTGACCATATTTTAAAATGAAACTCTGCCCTGTGTTCATACTGATTATTTATTTGCTGCCTTCTAGCAACTGGTCCATCTTTTTTCTGAGCACGGCTACACACCTGAGAGCTGCGTCCCCTTCTCCATTCTGTCTCAGCATTTCATCCAGAGCCTGATGAAGATGTCAACACACCATCAGCTCGTAGTGAGTCTCTGTTTGTCATTTGTTTATTTATTCCCCTGCCAAAAATCCAAAATACACACCACTCTTTCCCTTTATCGTCCACACCCTCCATCACCATCATGAGCATTTATATTATTATATTGTATAAGGATTCACCGTCATCTCTCTCTCTCCCCACCTTCTTTATTCTTTTTACTGTTTATTTTTCTCTCTGTGTGTCTCAGAACATTCATGGAGTGCTACAGGCCCATCAGAGTGAAGAAGAGGCTTACAGCTCTGGATGAGACATACACAGTACATATGCATGCTGCTGTCTGTACCGTGATGAGATCTCTCACTAATGCAGACATTGTTACTTTTGCCATCTTTAAACAATCTCCTGACTTTTACATTTGAAACATTTGCTGTCAGCTGTATTGCTCACTTCAGTATTGAATAATTCAATTTTCAACCATTACTTACCACAGTTTGTAGAAACATCATCAACTGATGGTGGTCGAAGTGACAACATAATTGAAAATGACAACAGTAACATTAATGATGGCGAGATTGACCCTTTCCTCACTTTTTTTTCTTTTCCTGATACACTCCAGCAGTTTTTCTGTCTCACTTGTTTGTCTAATGACCTCTCTGACACAGAAAAGCATTGGTCGCAGCTACAATGAGTGCATTGTCCAGGATAACCTACATGTCAAGCCTGACTTACCAGCAACTGCCTGCCAGGGCACCCGCAACCCTATGTCAGCCCATTCTACACTGATGTGTCATGGTAGCGTCTGTATTCAACAGTCACCGGTGTCTGTCCTCCTATTTGAGTTAACGTGTACACTGTTTAAAATAAATAAAAAGCGGCATATATCAATAACAAATCAGTGTTGTCACCTAGATTGTCTAATTTATTATGAACTTATTGATGCATCATCAGAGGTCACACCAAATAGCATCATCAAAAAGTGCTTTTCTATACGTGTTGATTGAGGGGTTGCATTCGATACGCCGCTTTAAGAGAATATCATTCTTATCAACATTTCCATTTGTTTCATTTTATGCAACAACGACTGAGGGGAACCTCCCACATCCCCGTCCCTCCACATTGTCTCTCTTTCCCTCCCTTTCACTGTCACTGCAGGTCCAGGGCTCTTCTCAGTGTCTTAGAGACAGAGCCACTCTGACACCACAGATGTGTCATATAGACGGGGCTGCACTTGCAGACTTGCATCCAAAGCCTCTTGAATAATAAGGACCTTTTTCCATCTGTTACGAGAAAAAAACCGAGGCAGGTACATGAGATAAGAATTTGGCGTTTCCTCCGTATCCAATTGAAACTGCAGAACATTAAAAACTTTTCTGACAGCCTCAAACAAACATAAGAAAAGAAGACGATTGGGAATTAATGAGAATGTGATTTTTTTCTGTTTTTTTTCGTCATTTTTCTCCAACTCTGTCTCAGGACCCGTCCACTCTGATCTCTCACTGGATCTGACTCTGATCTGAGGGTGAAAAGCGGAAACTTTCTCACAAGGAATAGTTGCTCACGCAGGACGGTTTTCATTACAGTTTAAATTGGAACAGGAAGACTATTTTTGGCCAGAGGTCACACTGTGCTGCTCTAATAACAACATGGGGATTGTATTTTGGACGTTTTCTCTCCTGGCTCTTCCAATGTTACAGTCTGCCAAGATCCTGACTATCTGTCTAATTGGTGAGTAGTGGAGCATTGACTATTAAAAGTGACCTTTACTCATTGTAATAGAGATAATACATTTTTAATATTTGTTCAGAAATGTGAGAAGAATAAGCATCTCATTGTCCGGGGAGTTGGTGAAAGAAATTTGCATGTTAAGAAAGCTTGTGTTTTTATAGTATCTTATAGTAAACAGAAAGCTATATATAAAGTTAGTGATAGTACCTAGCATCTTCTCTCTTCTACAGGAGGAAGCCACTACTTGTTATTAGATGAAATTTCTCATAACTTACACCAGCATGGCCACGAGGTCCGCATGCTCCTGCAACTGGGCAACCCTATTATTACAGGTACACTGCACATACAATACGCAACACAAACATGCAGGGAAAAACTTATTTGCAGAATTTTCTCTCTCATTCTATCTCTGATTTAGTCGCTCTTATTTTCATGTAAACGACTTCCCTCTAGGTTTCTCCTATAAAGGCCGTGCAGACAGTTACCAGATGAGCACATGGTCCTTGGGAGACAAGTATATTAAAGAATACAATGGCTGGTTCCTGGAGCAGCAAACACAGTTTCTACTGGGAAGGTATTACACAGAAGACAGGAGATTTGGTTACAGTGATAAGTCCCTGTTCCTCTCTGTCTTTATCTCTCACTCTAAATTGTTTTCTCTTCGTCTTTCTTTCTCCCAGGGATAACTTTCATAACTTTTTAAACTTCATGGGGCACCTGTCGTATCAGTGTGACAAGCTGTTAGGGGACAAAGAGATCATATCGTTCCTCCAGAAGCAACACTTCGACATTATCATTCTTGATGCTTTTAACCCCTGTTCCTTCATCCTGGCTCACAGACTTGGTACGACTGCTGATCATTTCACTGGTTTATGTCAAAAAGACTATTTCTAGATTAGAAGATTACTACAGTCATATATTGTTTGTTTATAGCAACTTGCTACAGAGTTTAGATGTATTTGATTGTGCTTATTCAAATCTAAATGAAAATAAATTTATCAACAGCAGTTCAAAAGTTCCCTCCATTTTACTTTTGATTTATTCCAGGTGTCAACTACATAGCTTTCTATCCCGGCACTCTGAACGGTCCTCTGTCCATCGCTCTCCCCAGCCCTGTTTCCTACATCCCGGTCTTCAGCTCCCGTCTGTCTGATCACATGAACCTCTGGGGTCGTGCAAAGAACCTCTTTTATTCTTTCCTGGCTCCTGTAGGTAAGAACAGTTTCAAAAAAGGAGATCACATAGTGTCAAGGGTATTATCACTTCTTCTTTGTGCACTGCAGTGCATGTGGCTCTCCAGAATTGTAAATTTTTTAAATAGCAAATTTGGGGTATCATGAAGAGTTATAATATCTCAGTTCAATTTGATCTGCTTCCTCCATGCATTTTTTATTGATATTACCTTGAAACGAATGGTACATTTTGCATCTCTAATAACCAACTTCCTTCGGTGTAACATTTTTACTTAAGGGCAGGGGTTTAGAGGTTTAACAAATTAATTTGTTATATTTAATCATGAATGATTGATATTTGTCATTTTTTATTGTGTCTTGTGTCGTATATCAAAGGCCAGGAACTTATATGGTCGAAATTTAGGGAAGTAGCTGATCGCCACCTTGAGTCAGGCTCACTCCCTGGTGGTCTGGAGGAGTTGCACCAAGGAGCTGAACTCTGGGCCTTCAACACTGACTTCTCCTTGGAGTTCCCTCAGCCTCTCCTGCCGTACACTGTGCTGGTCGGTGGTTTGCTGAATAAACCTGCGAAGCCTTCTGAACAGGTCTGTTTTCTTGATACAGATATCCACATAGGTTAATGACACAACCTTCTTTCTCTCGTCCTTACTTGCTCAATACTCAGCAAATTTTCCATTTGATCCCTTAGGATCTTGAGAGGTGGATCTCCAGTTTTGGAGAAGCAGGTTTCATCGTCGTGACTCTGGGATCAATGGTCTCTTCGGTCTCTGTGGACCCACTACTTGTGGAGCTGGTGGCTGGCTTCTCCATGATCCCTCAGGGGGTACTCTGGAGGTAAAGCTTAACGCAGGCACAAAAAATAAACCTTTTAAATTTCTGTGTCACATAGAGGGGAAAAAGACACACACAATATATTTTTACACTCATGAAAATATTAAATTAACCCCCAAAACAAAACAGTTTTTCAGTAATGTTAGGATGTTTACGACAATTCATTAACCTGCAATGGTCCGTTTGCAGATATGACCCCAAGCGATGGCCAACTGACTTGGACAGACCTCCCAATGTCAAACTAGTGGACTGGCTGCCTCTAAATGACCTGCTGGGTAGGAACAATTTGTCCCTTCTTTTCACCCTAACCCCTTTGTTACAAACGTAGCAGTTAGTCACAGTTTATGGTAGACTGTGAAAAGACTTGTTCATTGTGCTCTATCTGAGAGAAGACCAAAACAATGAATTTCAGGATGCATTTGTGTCAAACATTATTTTCTGTTTACCCCAGGCCACAAAAAGGCACGTCTCTTTATCACGCACGGTGGACAAAACAGTTTGCTCCAGGCGGTGTACCATGCTGTTCCTGTGCTGGGAATTCCTCTGTTTGGAGACCAGTTTGATAATGTGGTAAGAGCGGAAACAAAGGGACTTGGCCTGAGCATCAGCCCCACACACATCACCAGAGAACTGCTTAGCTCTGCAGTGCAAACCATCATACAGGACACCAGGTGTGCGGATGGATGAGGGAACTTTATTTGTGATACCATGTGCCATGCATGTGTCTATACTCTTTTCTTTATTCACCCCAATCACTTCTCTACAGGTTCAAGTCTACAGCTTTGGCCCTAAGCAGGATCCACAAATCCCATCCCGTCCCTCCGGCCCTTCGACTCATCCAGTGGGTGGATCACATCCTGCACAGTGGAGGCGGTGCTCATCTACAGCCGACCTCACTATCGCAGCCGTGGTACCAGCGATACCTGTTGGATGTGATGCTTCTTCTCTCCCTGGCGCTCACTGGACCTGTAGTTCTCTGCTGGACTTTCTGTAGGAACATGATAAGCAGTGGTAAATACAAAAAAATACAATAGCAGCAGCAAGTGTTCCCTCACAGAGACTTCAGATTCACACCTCAGTAAAGTCACTTGTTTGTCATGGACTCATTGCAAACTGTTCTGTGCTGTACACTAGGAATTTTTTTAAATTCTTCCTAAAATGGTGCAAATGTCCAATAAATAAGCCGTACCTGTTTCAACTGATTCCTTCAATTTACCTTTAAACACGTTCAATAAAAAAAGTCATAGATGTCATGTTCATGCAGGAGACTTTTGCTTTATGAGGGTCCAGAAAAAAATATACCTTGAGATCAAAAATATGAATTAAACTAGAAGGGTGGTGAGCACTGTTGCCTTGCAGCAAGAAGGTCCCTGGTTCAAATCCTAGTTTGGCTGTGGTCTTTCTGTTTGCATATCCTCCCTGTGTTTTGCGCGGGAATTCCCTGGGAACCCTGGCTTCCTCTCACAGTCCAAAGACATGCAGATTGCTAAGGTTATTTGGAGTCTCTAAATTCACCATTGGGAGTGAATTTTAAAAGAAAGTGAAAAAAAATTCCTGGATCTGATCCGGATTCGCTCCAAAATCTAATGGGTTGTTCTTTTGGTGCCTCCCTCTTCCACAAAATCTCATGGAATTGTTGATGACGAACAAACTGCAATGAAAACATAAGCTCCTTTGCATAGGCTAGAAAATAGTTTTTCTATAATGGTCCCTTTAATGTTTTTAATTGAAAGCAAAAATTACAGCAACAACAAAAAAGCGCTTTCAATATTAGAGTAGAACATTCATTTGAAAAACCCTTTGATGCTTTTTACTCTTACTCAACGTTTTTTGAATCTCCAGCCCCACTTCAGACCCCTAATGCCAAGTCTCCTGCCCTCTCCCCTCCTAGCGCCATCATGTCTACCAGACATCTAAATTGTACTGCAGCGCCGCATTGTCCTCCACCTCTGTGCTGTTTTGATCTGGCTGCAGGGGTTGTTGACAGTATGCACGCATCCGCACACTCACACAAGCACACACACACTCACACTCACTCACATGCACACACACACATACACACACACTCACTCAAACACACACACACTCACCAGCTAAGCAATGCTTTTGTTTTGTTGCGTGTGTTTCCAG